GCCGTCGTGGCTTCGTTCATTAGAAAATTCATGGCCAGCGAACGTGGTCTCTGCTGTCTCGCGATTACCCGGTTTAAAATAAATTACTTGCCTCGTATTAAATCACTCAACTTCAAACGTTTTTTCCCAATTTTCGTCATATTTGACTCTAATTAATTCGGTTTCATATTGTTTACGGCTACTCAAATCAAATACTTCTACCAGTAAAAATATTAGTCCGAGAGAAAGAATCGCGACGGAAAAAATAATTCTTGGGCTCATTCAATCCGAACAATATCAATCCGAAATCAACCTCATAACAAGCGCAAGGGGAGCCAAGAAAACTCGACTAGCAGAGCTCAATCCCTTTGTTGACGAAGACGGATTACTTCGCGTCGGGGGTCGATTAACTAAAGCGCCATTAGATTCAGACCGCAAATTCCCGATACTTTTACCTTCTCGCCATCACGTGACCAACCTTATAATTCGTGAGATGCATATAAACGCTTACCACGCCGGAGTTCAAAGCACGCTTTCTGCTATTCGGCAACGATATTGGCTCTTGGACGGAAAAAACCAAGTTCGGAAAATTATTCGTCGCTGCGTTCCATGCGTACGGTACAAACCAACCCCTCTTCAAATGAAAATGGGAGATTTGCCTAAAGTACGCGTCACCGAAGCTTTCCCATTCGAGCATGTCGGGGTTGATTTCTTCGGTCCATTATTTATTAAAGAAAAGAAACATAGAAATCGCGCGCAAGTTAAAGCATACGGGTGTGTTTTTATTTGTATGGCTACAAAGGCGGTGCATATAGAAATCGTAAGTGATCTGACAACCAACGAGTTTTTGGGTACTCTGCGACGATTTATCGGTCGACGAGCCCGGCCATCTAACATTTATTCCGACATCGGGTCAAATTTTATCGGCGTGAACAACCAACTTCGCGAATTATATGCGCTTTTGCAATCTGAGCAGTTTCGAGACAGCGTGGAGCACTTCGCTTCACATAAGGGCATAACCTAGCATTCCAACCCCCCTCTGGCTCCATATTTTGGCGGTATTTGGGAAGCAGCCGTAAAATCATTCAAACACTACTTCAAGCGCGTTGTCGGGGATTAATTGCTCACATTCGAAGAATTAAATACTTTTACCATTGAAATCGAGGCTCTTTTCAATTCAAGACCATTATGCTCCCTTTCCAGCGATCCAAATGACCCAAGCGCACTAACACCAGCGCATTTTCTAGTCGGTCGCCCTATGACGATGCTGCCGGAATATAATTTGCTTTCTATTCCAGACAATCGCCTTTGCATCTGGCGATTTATTTCCAAGGCCCGACAACATTTCTGGAAGAGATGGCAAGTTAAGTACCTCACAGAGCTACAAAAGCGGCAAAAATGGCTCACGGGAGATGATGACCTCAAACCGGGCATAATCGTCCTCGTCATCGACAAAAACATCCCTTGTGCTCAATGGAGGCTAGGAAGAGTACTCGAGGTGCATCCAGGCGACGACAAGGTCACTCGAGTCGCCACAGTCAAGGCCGGAAACTCCACCTTTATACGCAGTGTAACACTGTTACGCCCATTAGCGACCGAAGAGAACCTGCTCAAAAACTCATGAAGATTCTCACATACACAACACATATCAATTTTGTTCATTAATGTTTGTAATTTAGTTCATTAATAAATTGGATTTTTTTATGCCTCCCGGCTTTTTCTCTAAGTGCAGTGTTTTTCTTTATCCTCTTCTCATTTAACTTAACAACTACGAAGCCTACTCAAACCGAAAAGGTTTTGAGCGTACATTTTTTGAAGAGATGACACATAGATAGAGGGGTTAGTTAAATTATAATCGTCACAACGTTAAGATGACGAAGTACGTGGTTGATGTTCAAGGCTTTAAAAACATGCATAACGAATTTATTTTTAAAGAGGTCGCTATTATATTATATTATTATACCTCTACAAGAAAATGCTACACCGTCAGTTTTTGTCTTTTTGTCTCAGCCCCCATATTCTTGGACACAGCTCTTACCTAAGAACAAATGTAAAAATCGATGGTTAGAGTTTAATTACCACGGTCTTCGTTGGAGCTCGGGAGAAGTTCCCTACGAGGATCTAGCTACAACCTTTTGAGCCATTATTAAAGAAGATGATGTTATTTACGTAAAAGGTCTTGAAAAAATTAAATGGTTGCGTCGTGTGCTATTTAATACGTACATTACTCATAGTATGGTTTATACGCTTTACTAAATAATTGCGTGATATAATTATTTTTATAGGTACAATTATAATATTAAGCAATGTCCAACTTTAAAAAAAATTAGTATGGATGATATCGAATGCATGAATCACCAATTTAATCCAGCTCATTGTGTTGTGAAGAATGCTACAGCTTTACAAAAATGGATTTTAAAAGACGAGCAACGACAAAACGATATTCTTTACTTAATGTACGCCTGATACACAATACTTCTGCAATAAATTAGTTCTTCATGAATCTATGTCGATTTTTTTCATTCACGTCTCCTTATTACTGCTCCAATTAAAATTACTTTATCGTATAACTGCCTCTTCGTTGGCGAGGTACTGCGGTGAAGGGAAGTAAGCCAAGCAATGTTGGGATACACTTTCGGTTATGAAATGGTATACATGTTCTCTCTGGCAAATCGTATCACTCGATACGCCCACTCTTGCTAAAAAAATATTGCAGTTGTGCATTATATGCCTAAGTGAGAGGCGGTGAATCATCGGTCACGGCTAATGCATGCATGTAGATAAGAAATGATAGCTATAACCTTTGGCAAGGTACTGCGTCAAAAAAAAAAAAAAAAATGAGTGAGCAAGCGTTGAGGAATCAAAAGGGATACGCGATTTACTTTTGGAAATAAAATAGTATACATGTTTTCTCTGACAGCTCGCATCACTCGATACGCCCGCTCTCGAGAAAAAAAATATGACGCTGGTACATTATACGCCTAAATAAGAAGCGAAAAGTCATCGGCCACGGCTAACACATCCGTGTGGATAAGAAATAAAAGCTCCATTACTTGGCAAGGTACTGCGTCGAGTACGCCAACGTTGGTCGCAGCTAAACGGGATACGCGATCCGCTTTTCCCAATAAAACTTTTTCTCCAACAACTCGATACGCCCGCTCTTGAGAAGAACAAAAAAAAAACAACGATTACGCTGAGACTCCTAAAACACTGAGTGGAAGAAGAAAATAAAAAAAAACATCTGCTGATAAGAAATACTCGTTCGTGCTTGACCATCTTCCTCTCGCGCTGTACGTTGGGCTTGTCACCTATACCTTTCGGACCCATCCTGATGACATCGGAGCTCGATTAGCGGTCGGAAAGGAAGGGAGCCGTCAGTACCATCCGACGTCACAGCATCCAGAAGTCCCCCTTCCCCTGACGTTACCGCCCGAGTAGTCATCATCGCCCACCGCCCCTACTACCTCTTCTATAATGATCATGCTTGAGCCTCTCCTCCCAACGCCCGATGAGCCTCTCCCCCCACCACCGTCTTTCCGCCACCCACAGCCCAACTATAGCTATAGTCTCTCCCCTACTATCACTACAGGTCACCAGATCAGCCTCTCCTCCCACCACCTCCTTTTCTCCACCCACAGCCCAACTATAGCTAAAGCCTATCTTCCACCACCACCTCAGGGGGGAGCTGGGGGGGGTGCCGGAACCACCATGGTTCTCCTACTTAAGAGATTTATTTTAAAAAAATTGACTGGCAACACAGCTTTTAATTTTTAGAGGTGATTTGGTTTAAGTTTTGTTATATATACATAAGGTATTCCGATTTCGTAATAAGCCACCTTAATTTCACTTTAATGAAGATACTTTTTTAAACATAGATTTCTTATTATTATAGTTTAGCGAAAAATACGTATTTTAATCTTGTCAAACTTTAAGATTACATAAATTATGCTATATAATACAATATAGAAGCAAGAACTTTTTTTAAGACATAAAATCTTAGATACAAAGTATAATTTTAGTATCATTATTACTAATTGCCAGTGGTAGTATTATGTTTACTTAGTTTTTGGTTCCCAGGTTTTGAAATTTGTCTTATATATCACCAGTAGTAATATGTACGCGATAAGTTATGCACTGTTGTTGCGAGCTAGCTTGGTTAATAAACTATTTGTATCTTTGAATGATAGTATAGAAATTACTATTTCGAATAAATAACTATTATCTATAAATTTATTCTAGTAGTTTATAATAATTTAACATTATGATTTCAACTGCATTATTTCTGAATATTAATTTCTTATTGATTGCATGGACAACCCACCTGAAACAAAATGTCGGAATTCTATGTAGAATAACTTCTGTAAAACGTTCAGGAAAGCCATATGGCATTACACATGGTTTTACATGTGGCATTACATACATAAAGGGTTTTAGCTGGGTGATGCCATGTGTAATTCCATATGGAAAAACACATGGAATTACTAATTGGAAAAAAAAAAAATTTTTATCATCTAGAAATAGGTGCAAAATATCATAATAAGTTATTTGCAGACAACAATTTGTCTTACCATCGGGACGATAACTCGAAAACAAGGGGGTTCAGCTGATTTTACTTCTATAGATAAAAATTTTATTTTTTTTATTTTTTTTTTTTATTCCTGAAATATAACTTGAATCCTCTTGTTTTCGAGTTATCATCCAGATGGTGACACTAGTTGTTCACAGTGAATGACGCATTACAGTATTCTGCAGTTATTTCTAGATGACAAAATTTTTTTCCTTTTTCCAATTTGTAATTATATGTGTTTTTTCAAATGGAATTACATATAGCATTTCCAAGCTAAAACTTATGTAATGCCATTCGTAAAACCATATGTAATGCCACATGGCTTTTCTGAAGGTATTACAGAAGTAATCACACATGGAATTTCGTCTTTTTTTTCAGGTGGGAGAAATTATCACATATCAACTATTTTAAGCTAGACACTATTTAATATTTCTATGATTTCCTTTCAAGAAAACGCAAATTCTATGCGGTGGCCCTTATTTAGCCATTCATTTTAGAAGGAAGGATTTTATTTTAAATCGAAGGGATTCATTTTTAACTGCAACAGAGGCTGCTGTACAAGCTAAAAAGAAGTTGCAGGTACTAAATTTGGATAAAGTTTTCGTAGCAACTGATGCAGAAGAAAGTGGTATGTAACAGTGTATACGGAATAGTGTAATTTTTTTGTGAATTTATATTAAATCGATGTTTTAGAATACATCCAGCTTAAAAATGAATTAATAAATTACACGGTTTTACGTTTCACACCACCGCAATCAGTACGGAAAAAAATCAAAGATGGTGGTGTTGCTATCGTGGATCAGATAATATGTTCACAAGCAAGGTATTTAAGTTTTATAGTGATAGTATGTTTTAAATCAGTGTATGTATAATAGTAAAAAAATTCTTCCAAAGATATTTTATAGGAACCCAGCAGTCTACATTTACCTATCGAATCCAAGAAGACCGAGAAATCCTCAATTTTCCTTATGAGACAACATTTAACGTATTTTGTAGTCTTGAACAACAATGTTAAACTAAATATATTTGGAATGTGAGTCTTCCTTAAAATAAAGTGTTGTGATATTTTAAAGCTATTTGTAATACGATTGTAATTAAGGAAAATTTTTTTCAATGTGAATTAATGCTTTTTTTTAAAAGATACATCTTAGTATATGTGCATACATACATGTGTTCTTTCGATGCACATTAATTAAGAAGCATATTTCGTATATAGTGAGTAAATAATGTAATGAGTTCGTCCGTTGGTGTGCACGCAGTGACACAAAAAAAGTTTCTCCATCTCAATTACTCGAAAATAGAAAGAAAGTGGGAGATAACAGAAAAAAAAAACAAAGAGGTGGCAAGAAAAATCTGGCTCTTTCGCTCGTGGTGTGCCAGCAAGACACGTAAGCCTTGGCGACTGTTTAGCGAAAAAGTTTCCAAGGACGAAATACGCAGAGCATGTCATGCCTGCTTATTGGCTGCAAAATCAACCATAAATATAAAAGTAAGGTAAATAGCGCATCATTGAAGTACAAGAATGACATTATTATATTTTTTCTGCACGGGCTTACGATTTCGTGAAAAACTTTCCAGACAGGCCACCGTACATTCTCCCTCCTCACATTTACTTACCAACTCGCCACTATGATTGGCTGAACTCTCTTTGTGTATGTGTATTAATTATTAATAAATAATCGAGGATATTGGAAGAATATTCGGCTTTTTTACTTTTATTTTACATTATAATCTGTATTGTTATACCCAGAAACATAGAAAAAGATTAAAAACTTTTAAGATACAGCATTTTGAAAAAAGTATCTAACATGCGTACAACCTCGAATAAGGTATAAACGGTTACATCAAAGTTCCCCTTCTTAATTTTATGAGCTGTTTTTTACCTTTAACTCGATACATTAAAAAATTACTCAAATACTTGTAGGTAAATTAGAAATTCAATGGCTCTAAGAGTTATAACAGGTAATAGTAATATTTTGATTATTGTATTCATTGGCGTATTTATAGGTGGCGGCACTTTTTCTCATAATATAGGGACATTGTATTACAACTAGCTGAGTATTGGGAAGATTTCCCTAGCGCGAAGCAAGTGAACTTTTATGACGTGGTATAGTCAGTCCATGGCTAGCCGCCTAGCAGAGCGGTCACATCTATATAACTACTAAACAAACGTTATATTATATTAACGACCTCTCGTCCTTATTGTCATTGTAGATACCCTACATCCTGGAGCAGCTCAGGTGATCCAGAGAGCGCACTGGACAAAGCCAGGGCCAACTCTCCACAATAAAACTAAGAATGGGAACTTATCTAAACTTAAAATACGAGTGCATACATAGCTCCTTGGTAGCTTAAGTGGTAGAGCAATAGTATAGCAAACAGGAGGTTGTTTGCTCGATCCGTACCTAGGGAAGATTTTTTTCTCATTCTTATTTATTACTTCAGAAATTTTCTTGAAAATCAGAAATATAAAAGTGGATTTAAATTTTAATTCTTGAGTATATTTGCTATCGAAAAGGGCATGGATGATTCTAAAAGAGTACTTGTATAAAAAATGCTACCATCTACATACGTGCCAACTGATATGATGATAAGTGTATCAATACTACCTGTTATAACTCTTAGAAGCATTGAATTTCTAACTAACCTACAGATATTAGTCATTTTCCAACATATCGAGCTAAAGGTGAGAAACAGCTAATAAAATTAACAATGGGAACTTCTCTGAACCTACGATGCGAGTGAGTGCGCAGTTACTTAGTGGCTTAAGTGGTAGAGCAACTGTCAAGCAAACAGAAGGTTTTTATATTCGATCCGCACCCTAGGAAAATAGTTTTTTCATTTTTACTTATTTTTTAAGAAATTTTTCCGAAAAATAAAAAATAAAAGTAAGTTTTACTTTTGATTCCAATGTATATTTGCTATCGAAAAGGACATGGATGGTTTAAAAGAGTGCTTGTATAAAAAGTGCCATTAAATTTCAAATTTGAAATTTGTTTACACTTTTTTAATTTGCTGATTACACATAAACTTTTTTTCTGTACTTCTCTCATAAACATATTTAAATCTACATGTATATCTCAGCCTATCCATGTATGTGTTGTGTTTTTTTAATGTTTTGTATTTTATTATCTATTATATGTACATTTTGCCTGTGAATTAATTCTAGTTGCTGAAAGCTACTAGTAGCCTTTATCTCCATTTTGAATCCTGGTTTTTTTGTTAAGTAACCGACTTTCTATCTGTTGGCTCTTATTAAATGGGATTTTCTTTTCCTGTAATAATAAGTACTGCAAGGGGGCACTTCTATCACCTAGAATTCATAATACACGCTTTACATTTATATTTATATTTATTATATTTTCTTGTAATAAAAAATCCGTCTAATAGACAATTTAACAGTACACAAATTTTTTTTTACACATATTTCATTTCTATTTGAAACACGAAAATTCAAATTTGAACGCCGCGCGCGGGGAATGTGCGTCTAGTACGTTAAGAAAACGCTAGAGCGCGTTCACCCAAAGAAGGGAAAACCTGCTACTCAAAAGGAAACAACGTTAGCATAAAAGGCACCAGCGCGCAATGTTAAGTGAGTCCTCTTCCAGCGAACCTGGGACGCGGAAATCCACGGTCACCCAGATTTGGAACTCTCTCGTGCACCAGTACATTACCGCGTCGAGCATAAGGTGAGAGAAGGAGACTGAGTACGAAGGCCAAGAGCTGAAAAGTAAGTTTGCACACCACCTATAGGTAACCTTCCCCCTAACCGGTTCCTACTTGGACTTTCGGTGCTCGACCGCTTTAAGCGTGGAGACGACGCATCCCCAAGTAGTCAAGGCACTAGGGTGAGTGATCACGTTCTTAGGCGAAGTTCCTGGGTCGACGACTTGAGCAGTGCTCAAGACACCCAAGGGCCCTGAGAACGACCTAACCCTACATGACTTGGTAGGATAGGTAGTTACCTAACATGAACCTTCCGTGGTCGTACTAAAAATTCGTGCTAGTCTAACCTAACGTGTCTAAGCGGAGATATTAAGGAGGGAAAATTAAAATTGTCGTTCATGTAAAATTTTCTATTAAACAAAGGTGGATAAGTTTTAAGTAAATTCTAAACTATCGAGTATAACTTTTTTCATTATTAACTTAAATAATCGCGATTACTCAAATATAATTAATACATGTAGAAATTAAAGATACAATTTCCATAGGATCATATGATTGAATAAATATAAGATAATTAAAAATAAATTGATTGTTCTTATTTAAGCAAACCTTCCCCTTCACGTATGATTGCGAGTTCCTTTTTTATAGTTCAAGATAAAAACTAGACTAATAGCTGTTAAGATATTTATGAAATTGTTTATATGAACTGAGAATATTGTCTGTACCCAAAAAAGGGCAGAAATGAATTAAAAAAGATATTAGATTTAGAAAGATATTGAATAAGTTAAAAAAGACATTAAATTAATTAAATTAAGGGAATATTCAGGAGAATTCAATAAAGTAATAATCAATAAACAATTGCTGTATATGGTGCAGGAATTAATTGATTATTCAACAGATAAATTTTGAAACTTGATAATAATTATTTTAAATATTGTATATAATCGGCAATCTGAGCAACTTCGCTCTTTTACACAGGGCAACGAACCCGCCCTCCGACATATAAACACTAACATTGTTTGTGTGTTGGTTCCTAATCTTAGAGTTTCCTCGGTACCGATAATATTCTTAGCTGATTGTTACCACCACTAATTAACCGGGGTCATACTCAAAAGAAAGGGAAGTCGTAGTACCCTTACGAAATTCTTGTCTGTTGGCACTTGCCGACCCTGTGAGTTTTCCCCATCTGGCTCCTCGTTCTGAATCAGCATCCCCCTCCGAGGCTACATAATTATGCATACTGTTCTAGTTATCTTTTAGTCACTTTTCTTTTCTTTTCTCGTCGTTATGAGGGGCTTTTGGACTTGTAAATTGTATTATCACCTTTTTTAGTTTTATTTGTATTCTTTTTTTTTGTTGCTCTAACTTTTAAAACTCTAGCTGGGCATCCATCGCTGTTCCTTTCTCCGTATTTTCCTGTTAGTTGGCTAGTTCATGCAACTGTTGTCTAGTGCACTCTGAGTTTCTTTCTAGTTTCTTCAAATGTCTAGTTTCTTTAATATGAAAAAATTTTTCAGAGGTTCGTAATTCGTAATCACTCTAAACTTACGTCCGTACAAATAAGGTCTAAATTGTTCCTTATCGAATATCATTGCCAGCAGTTCCTTATCATACGTAAGATAACGAAGCTCGCTTCCTTTTACACAACATGATGCGTATTCGCATGGTCTATCTTTTCCTGTCTCACCCTGACTAAGGATTGCGCCTAGCGTATCTTCCAACGCACCCATCGTTACGATAAGGGGTTTTTCCAAATCTAGGGCGATGAGTTTGCCCTGTTCTCGCAAATTTGATAGTTATTTTGGGAATCTGTCTTATTTCTTCGTCATACTCTGAATGCTTTGGTTCGACATTCTCTACGTGTGTGTCTGGTGTCTTTGTCTGATTGCCTTTTTTGTGGGCTCTCCTGCTTTTTCTTGTACGTTTGCCGTTCCGCTGTACAGAAGTGTCCCCATACTCTACTGTAGAACATTATGTTCTTCTCTGCACTATGTAAGTACTTGGGCTGTTGTGGTGCGTTTCCACTTCGACTTTTTACTTGCTTCGTTGTCTGCGGTCTCTCTCTCGCACATTCTTCCTCGCTGGATAAGCTTCTCCCTGACGCTCTCTCTCTCTAGTTCATAATTGGCGTTTGGGGACGGAGCCGAACATCCTGCAAGTTTCAAACAGCGGTGAAGTCTCTTTTGTTGTCCGGGGTAAATGCACGGTTTTCTTGCTGCGGTGGACCCTTA